TCAACATATACGCTCGTTTTAAGGAAAATTTGCATTTTTATCCTACTGTTTTAACGCCATATCATTTTTTGTTCCAAGATTCCAACTTTTTGATTTTTATCCTGTAATTTAATATTTTAATATTTTGCTCAATTTCAGTCCCTATAATTATATAACTTAAATTGGTAATAAAAAATCCAATCCAAAGATTTTTATTAGCTATTTAAGTCTTATAATTTAAAATTTCGTTGCAATTTTAGTCCTCAAAAGATTATAATTACGTTCAATTTTTAAATCATAGGACCAAATAACAAAATGTTCAATTCTTTTAGCTAAAAACGTCACTGAATCACGCCGACATGAATAAATTACAATTTTGCCTCGTTTTAATTTAGGTTGGTATTTGGAAAAAAAAAAAAGTGAAATAAAACCGAATATGTAACATATGACCGTAATTTAAATTGTTAAAAATCATTATTGCGGTTATCTTATTGAAAGATGTAACAATCGGGGTAATATTTTTATTTCCTTGTTATAATTTTGTAATAAAAGTATTATATTTTTATTACAATAAAGTTTGATAAAAATATTATTATTTGATAATGTAATTACATATTTTTGTTTTAGAAATATGTAAAATTGATTTGACGCTAAAACTTGGAAAATAATATTGGGAGAAGGTTTAGGCACTTTCGGCATGAAGAGTAGGGCCCGCACATGCAGCTTGCGCGCTTGTTTCTACCAGCGAAAGAAAATCAAAGCAAACGGCAATTGCGCGTTGTGCGAGCCAATAACACATTGCCACGTGTCCCGTTTCCGCGTTAAGTTGTCATTTATCAGCTTCACGAGTATTTTTAAAATTTTGTCCTTTTATTATGTCAATGGAAAGTCTTGTGTAATATATTTAGAGTTTTTCCCGAAAAGTTTACGCGAAATATTTGCGCTATATTGCGTTATATTTCCGTAACGATATTTGAACAATAAAATATTCAAAAACTTGTATTTTTTAGGGATTAGAGTCATATTTATAAATAACAATTAAAAACTATAAATTTTGACAATGATTTCAAATCAAAAGTTTGAAAATGCAAAGTCCTAAGTTGAATAGTGCAATATTTTTTTATCCATTTTTGTTATACCATTTTATTTTCTGATGTTTGACATTTAAATAAAGAATAAAAAATTTATATCTAATTGTTAGAATTAAGTTGTAGTTAAATAAATAATAATAATAATTAAAATGCATATACTAAAATTTATACTATGACTTACCTCATTTATTTTCGTTGTTTGTTTTTACATTTTATTATATTGGATTCATTATGAAATAATTATATTATGATGATATTTACATTAAATATTTGTGAGAATTAATCCTTAGATGTTATTTTTGAAGTCATTCAAATACTATGATAGTTGTTGTAATCAACCATCTATTTTTATTATATGCAAATATACTTGTAATATTTCTACATAAAA